GGAATCATTCTAGCAATAACCGTACTCTGCCGTGTTCAAGGCTCAGCTGTGTTCTGCGGCTCTGCCGCACCCTGTTCTCTTTGAAAGGTGTGCTGTGCATGCTGGAGCTTTCTGTCTTGGGGCTACATGGACGTGTCTTCGAAGCCCCCATTAAACAAGAACTAGAAGAAGAAGACCTGCGACAGTGTTCGGATGACGACGGCCTATCTATGGTAGGCTGTCTTCGACAGTCATGTCATCCAGTTTCGTTTGAACAGTGACGCAGTGTGGTTGTAATCCAAAGAACTCTTTGCTATGAAAGCTCCATTTACGTGTCGAATAGGTACACCGAATTATTCTGCTTATTTTCTCTTCAGAACCGCAAAAACAAAATTATGAAGCAAAGGGCGAAGTTGAAAATGCCTCTCTTCCTCTTCGTTCCTAATAAATAAACAGCCACGCGGACTTCCTGTGGTACCAAAAAGCGCAATTACTTGCACAAAAATACTTCCAAATGTAAGAAAAACGCACCAATCGCCAAGCTAATGTTTATTTCCCTGGCTGGCTAGGTATAGCCTCCACTCCAATCTCCATCATGGCTCCATCATCCATGGACATGCCCCAGGATTCCAGGGGCCAGGAACAGGAATACAGGATGATGCCTCATCAATAATCAGCACCTTGCTATCCATATGATATCCAACATTCCAACTCATGTGATAGCTAGCTGTCAGTGTCAACTCCCAATCAAACCTGCCACAAGCTGACAAGCCTTATCCAGCTCAGCATCAAAAGCAACCACAGATACTGCCAAACAGCAACAAAATAAGTCTGCAGAATCCACAAGTGACAAGTGCACAAATTAGTCTTGACTGTTGACTCCAAATTAAATTTAAATTTACAGAATCTGCCATGGACCCCCTGCCAAGTTATCCTCAGTGAGGATAACTTGGATTCATCATCAGCACATGAGCACGGATGCTCAGACAAAACTTTCTTGTCTCAATTCATTCAGAATTGCTTAAGCCATGGATGAACTTTGTGAGCTGGTCCAAAGTTTTGAGCATCAATGCTCAGGAGCCCTGCTAGTAACAGCCAAGACCCTAGAACAGCTGAACAGGTACACACCCTGCCTGCAACCACAGCTCTGAAGACTGGTGAAGACTACCATCCAGTTACTGGAGCAGTTGCATGGTCAACACAATTCTCCTATGGAAGCATTTTTGCACCAGAACTCCATGACAAACCTCTAGACTTCATATTATCTATTCTTAAAGCAGATAAAGTAGTTGGTATCCGCAAGCTTCTGAGCGACCCTAAAAAATCCTCCGTACCTTTATATGTCTTTACCTTCCTCAGCCCCGCACCTCCTAGCAAAATACAAATTGGCTACTGACTACTGTACATGCACAGTAGACAATGACAAATATGGTACTACCCTTAGTACCCTAGCCTACTTTGCTGTGGCCAGTGCCTCCACTATGCCAATTCTAAACTAAGATGTTCTCAACAGAACCACATCTTGTGCCTATTGCAGTGAAAGTGGTCACTCTCGTGAGTCACGAGACCTGCCCAAGATCTGAGCTGGAACCAAAATGCATAAACTGCAAAGGAAAACACTATGCAACTTCGCCTCTGTGTCCATTATATGAATCTGAGCTTCAAGCTTGTCAGCTCACAATCAGCAAAGGACTGAGCTTCCCAGAGGCATGTGCTAAAGCAAGAACTGAGTCAACCATAAATGCCAGCAATCCTTGTACAACAAGCCAGCCCTTCCCTACAACCAGAGAGGCTCAACAGCTCACACCAACAAACTTACATGCAAACAAGTTCTAAGGAGCAACCTCAACCTAAATTGATTGCCTTGCAAAATAAAAATTTGATCAAAATAGTTAGTGGCATAAAACATAGCTCTGCTATTGTCTTTTTTTTTTTGCAATTCTTACCATTCTCATTAAATTTTTGGCACCTTCTCACAGAGCCCTAAAATTTGGAGAGCATGCACTAAAAAACTTGTATTATTTAAAGTCTTTTCGCAATGCAAGATAATATAGCTCCAAATTAGTGTAATTTTCGTGAATTTTTTATCTTAAGGCCCTGATGTTATGTATTTTGCTTCAATTAGAAATTTCATTAATTGAAAAAAAACTTTCTAAATGAAAAAAGTAATTTTTTAAATATGTCCCTAGAGCTGTGAGATTTTCATAATAAGTAGTTGTTCTTCAATCTTGATCATAATGGCAATTGTCAGTTTTACCTATCTGTACATTACAAATTGCAATCAGTTGGGGCTGTTAGGCCAACAGCCAATGATGAAAATAATATATGGATTACAATGCTTTAGAATCAAGTCAGAATAAAGATAACAATCTTTATAGTGTTGATTAGTCAATTGATAGTGATTGTACTTTTAATTTCATATGGATTTGTGGATGCTGATTGAAGGTCAGGATGGCAAACATAAAATTAAAAAATAAGATGTATCTTGTGAGGTTAAGGTGACAATTTTGGGGTTTATATAAAGTGGGGGGAAATAAATAGTCGTACACTTGAAAAATCGTATTTTAATGTAGATATGTAAGTACACAAACTTAACAGGAAAAGTGATTTAAATTATGTATAGAGACGCATAGTTTTCAAAAATACTATCAAAAGAAATTAAATCTCAATGCAACAAAAAACAATGCAACATGTTCACTTCTTCGGGTGAAAAAAGTATTCGTACAAAACAATAAATCCGCATTATTTTAATTTAATACTTGGTTGAATACCCTTTATATCAAATTAAGAAAAGGTCCCCAACAAACATTGAGAATCTTAAGGTGGTGTGCCAAGAAGAATGGTATAAAATACCAGTCAGCATCTGCAAATCATTGGTCGAGACGTATAGAAATAGACTGGTATCTGTTGAGCTGAGTAAAGGGTATTCAACCAAGTACCATAAAATTAAAATAATGCGGATTTATTGTTTTGTACGAATACTTTTTTCACCCGAAGAAGTGAACATGTTGCATTGAGATTTAATTTCTTTTGATAGTATTTTTGAATACTATGCGTCTCTATACATAATTTAAATCACTTTTCCTGTTAAATTTGTGTACTTACATACATTAAAATACAATTTTTCAAGTGTACGAATATTTATTTCCCCCCACTGTATATCTTAAACCTTTAGCAAGCAAGTTATGAAATATGGTCACTTAAATTATCCTTCCCAAAAGCCCAGCTTGTTCCCCAGTTTGTGTTTGTGGCTGTGTTGTCATTTTTGCCAATCTTCAATCATCTGTCTTCTGTCCATCCATCCATACATAGCCTCACCCTCTGCCATGCCAAGGAATTATATATAATATGATAATTTAAATGAAAGTTTGATATCTAGAGAAAATTAAATCAAATTGCAGCTTGATTGTTTTCCTTTGCACTTGAATTAATAAATTAGAAAATTTTCAATTTCTTTCAGCATAGAGACCTCTTCCTATAGATTTTCATCTGCGATTTATGCCAATATTGTATAGAATTTTTGAAAATCCATATGAGTAAGTTCATCTTATAATTCTCCATACTTTGTCATAGTGGCTCACAAAATTCAAATTCCTACATAACGTACAGTATTTCTATGCTTGCCTGTGAAAGGGTTAAAACTGTTTACATATTATGTACTTCTCCCAAAGATTTAATTTTTTTGCATTTTTTTGTTAATTATTGCATAAAATGTAGAAAGAAAACTCGAGTATATATTAATTTTATTATGTCTAAATTTTTTTATGTATTCTACAATTTGTTTGAATGAAAGCTGGAGGCTCATAAGCATGACAAAAAACATGTCATTAAAACCAATTTATTCAAATGTCTATAGAGCATTAAATGGTGTCAATTGAGGTTGAACTCAATTTTCACAATTCTGAATTGGTTTCCTCAGTGCTTAATTTGGTGCTTTTCAATATAAATATTAGGATGCTTGGCAGAAATTAATTTTTATCCTTTTCAAGGCTTTGCTTAACTTGATTAAATATCTAATATTATTATCAACCCTAAAATGCTATTTCAATAAGTCATGCAATGAATTCGGTCAGTAGCTGTATTTTGGTGCCCATGTTCTACTACCTATATCATTCAACAAAAGATTGACCACCCTATTTTTAATGGTCCCTGATTGGTGTCACATTGTCATAAAAAATGTGTTATGTTTATTATCACTTGTATTGGACACATTCTAACCAAGTCCTGAAAGTCAAGTTGCTAGATTTGACAAATTCACCCTCGATGCTAGAGAGCCAAGGTTCTTGTCCCCAATATTAGACCTTAAGTTTGTAATAGAACCTGAAATTGACTTCATTCCCTACATGTCAAAGATTTAAAATTAAGAATATCTGCAAAAGTTTAAAAATTACAGAACAGAGTTATTTGTACTAAAGCTAAGAAGCATTTATGGTTAGTATACTAGCAAATTAGATTATCAGGAAGCATTTGACTGAGGAGTTATGGAAAAGTCATTATTTTCCCTTTTCAAAATGTGATGTGGCATTTTGTAATGTTTTTAGCGCATTTTCTCATTTATGGAAAAATGCACTATTGTGCTCCCCATGTCCGTCTGTCCGTCCGTCCATGACTTTACGTTTTCGTTGACGAGAAAATGCGCTCTCTGTCACTCACTGCAGTGAGTACTGATATATTTTTTATTACTTAGTTCTCATTTCTTGTAGGATTTTGCAAAAAGATTATCAGGGGGGAGGGGCTGTTTAAAATTGAATATCCTTATTAATTTACTGTCTAGTCCATTAGTTTCTTCCACATATAGGGAAAATCCCATTAAACATAAAACGTCGAGTTACTGTGTACTAGTTTGACTTATTAGTCACTGTATTAATACAGATATTAATATTAATACACTTTCATTATTTTCTCCCAAAAATTGCCTTGCTTACAATAACATTGAAAGAAATTCTGTTCCTGTAACCGAGATCTTTTCCAGGACTAGGTTTCAATGATGAAAATTTATTGCACGGGTTTACTTTTTGCTTAGAATTGATTTGGTCGTAGATAGGATACACTATTAGTATGGGTGACGGTTCGCAGAGGATCGCGCGATGGTATTTTGGGGGACTAGCTTCCTGCGGCGCAGCCTGCATCACCCACCCTCTGGACACGCTCAAGGTGCGTCACCAGCTAAACCTGCCTGGCATGTCTGTTGCCAACTCCTTTTCTCACTAATTTTGACTAAAATGTGACTCAATATATTTTTGCTGACTTATTTTTTCTCTATTTTGATTAAGATATTTGTATGAATATATTTTTATGGTCGGTGTGAAGTCAATGTAGCAATGTTCTATGCTTGAGTTCATTTAGATTTGCGTTTCACTGCTCGCGCGAACCACTGATGTTCAATACAATTTGTTTTTATTTATTCAATGTATAAAATATTGCGATGCTTAACGATGGTTTTCATTATGCTATATGAAATGGATAACAATTTACATTTTGGGCAAGATGATCGTTTATTCGTATACGGTACAAATGATAGGACCACTTTGGAACGCGATTATTTTGGCCCTGTTAACCGCATGTGATTAATTGAGCAAAATGTCTTCGGTACTTCATAATTTGATCCAATAAAGCGGGTGGTTCCGATTCAATAGAATGTATGGCATTTAAATACTGAAGTATTTGTGATGCTTAAAATATATTTTGAACATGATTATTACGTATCAATTTCACACGTTTCCATTAAATTTAATCGTAATGAATCCATTTATTTTTTGGGCTTTAGGTGCAGCTACAGACACAGCAAGAATCCAAACTAAAGGGCAGTCAGATCGCAATTCGCATCATCAAAAATCAGGGATTCATGGCTTTGTATAACGGCCTCTCAGCTTCACTATTGCGTCAAGTCACGTACTCAACCACGAGATTTGGCATCTACGAGGTTAGTGCACGCTCGCCTGCCTGATACGGTTTCACGTGTCTGTGCTTCAGCATTCACTGAGAGAAATTAGTAAGATTTCGTTCAATTAGTGATGTACTTTTTGCGCTTCTGTGGATCATCGTGAGCATATTTCGCATGGCAAAAGGGCGTATCAGTGGTACGCGCAGAAAGTGGACAATATTTGGACAATATGATGCATCCTTTTTTTATCTCTCCTCTTGTGTTGCAACAGATCTCGGCAAATCTTGTGTCTAGGAATTGATCAGCGGCTCCTTAATAAACTTGGCGTCATTTCTTACATTGCATAAATCTTCTCTGTGTGGTAATTTTAGTCCTTTAAGGACATGTATATGAAAGCTACATGATTCGAATATTATATGAATTACAAATTTGCGTTTGGTTACTAATCAATAACTATCAAGGTCACTTATATACATGCACGACACGGACAGTTAAGACCTTGGAACCTAAAGCTTAGGTGCACTGATCTTCAATTTCCATGCTCGGAATGCCTAAGGCTGGCAAATCTTGAATCCGTCTTCTATTCAATTAACTTGAATCTGTAGGTAATTCTCGAACATAGTTTCATGCCAGATAAGATTAGTGCAGTAAATGGATTAAAATCAAATAGTGTTATATTAGAATTGAATTTGTGTTGAAATTTATGCAAATTGTTCATAGTTACATTTGTGAGTATCGAAAGTTTTACTATGTGTTTCAATAACGATTCCATGTTTGCTTGTTTGAAATTTACTTTCGACGTTGTTTGGATGAAAAATCGACGGTATCGCCATTAATTTGAATGTAACGGTGCAATAGGATGCTCAATACACCGATAATTTATTTGTTTATCACGCTCAATCTCCAGTGAGCGATAATGCAAAGCCCTGACTACAATATTGAAATAATTTTTTTTTATTATATCGATGTGCATCATTTCTACTATATAATATCTGCATCATTTCTACTATTATAACGCAATGACTGGTCTATTCTTACCTCGTCACCCTTATTGTGTATGAGATCTCGTACACAAAACTCAATCGTATTATTACAATTTCAAAGCCATTATTACTAAGCGGAACAAATGTGAAGCTTCTACTTGTAGGTGATGAAGCAACGAATGGGCAACTCAGGAGGAGACGTGCCTTTCTACAAGCGCGTGGCTATTGCTGCCGCGGCGGGCGCGTGTGGAGGTTTCGTCGGCACACCCGGCGACATGGTCAATGTCAGGATGCAGAACGATGTCAAATTACCTCTTGAACAACGGAGGAAGTGAGTCAGGACGTCCTCTGACTCGTGTCCTAATTTAACTGCTCTTTTACGATTGCATTTTTCAGAACGATGTCAATTTGCCACTTGAACAGTGAAGGAAGCGAGTCGGGACTTCCACTGACTTGTGTCCTAATATACCTCTCAAATACTTTTTTTATACACTCTTATCAGCAGTCCATGAAACTATAAGCCACCTTTCCAGCCGTACCAGAAACTTTATATCTGTTTAATACACTCGCATACCTCCTCTGCTTTATCATACCTTTTTTTATACACGCGTATTGGGATACCATGAATGTAAAGCCAACTATTCAGCCCGGACCTGTGCTTTGTACCTGTTTCATACACTCAAATAATTCTGTTAAGCCCAAATACCTATTTTATGCCAACGTATATATTTCCATGGATTTTTCAGCCAACTTTTCACCATAAACATGTGATATATACATATTTTTTACCCCCGTACGTGTTTACTGATCAGCTACAAGCACGCGATAGACGGGCTAATGCGCGTGTCGCGCGAGGAGGGCGTGAAGCAGCTGTTTAGAGGCGCGTCCTCGGCCACGGTGCGCGCGGTGCTCATGACGGTCGGCCAACTCTCCTTCTACGACCAAATCAAGGCGACGCTCCTCAGCTCGGGTTACTTCCACGACAACCTCGTGTGTCACTTCGCGTCCTCTTTGTGTGCCGTGAGTGCTTTTGTGTAGCTTTTGTATACAACTTGGCATTCACATTTTTTTATATTGATCCATCAGAAAAATTTGATCCCTGTTATTGTCAATCCTAATGGCACAAAACTGCATGGTATTGGTCGAAATTTGATGAGCTGTAGTAGTTCATACTTAATTTCTCACGGAGTTCTCTCGATGAATGTTTGTCTCTGAAACTGAATTTGTGTTGTTTGCGTGGTCTTTTATGAAATTTATATCATTATTTTAGTATTATTATGATGACCATTATTTCAATCCTCATCGCAAATAGTTTAGAGCAAGCAATAATTATATTTCGTACTTTTCTTTGAAGCTTCTGGGTATTTCCATTTGTCCACTAAAACTAATTTCAGGTGTTAGTGCAAAGTTGCTAAATAGCGAAAACGCGAATGGTTTGACTTGTCCTGTTTTCCATATCATGTTTGTTTCAATATTCTCACCATCGGTCCTGAGTGTTAATATTGGAATACATCGTACATATCCTTTCAACATTTATTGTCATAGAGTTACGCTTTTTATGCTATTGATTGGCTTTGTTCAGAGCGGCCGAGTAGCTAAGACCAGTAAGATGAAATCAACAAATTGAGAGTTCGAAACCTGCATGTAGCTGTGAAATTCTTGGTCGCAGTCGGCAAGATGGTCGGACGGTTAAGAATCGGCGACAGACTAAGAGGGCCTAATCAGAGCTTTCACTAATATATTATTATACTTTATTGTATCACAGCTGATACAATATTTTGTTAATGTATATTACATTGTTATTATATTTCATTGTCTCAGGGCGCCATTGCGACGACGATGACGCAGCCACTCGATGTCATCAAGACGCGCGCGATGAACGCAGCCCCCGGCGAGTACAGAGTGAGTTCAGGCCTCCATATTGCTTTATGTAATAATGGTGTTATTCTATTATAATATCTAATTTGAAGACAAATTTATGCATTATTTGTCTCATAAATTAAGTCTCCTGAAGAACTGCGTATCCTAATAACCTCGGGAAGAGCAAAATGTGCCCACAGTCGCGTGCTGTTAACACATTAATTTTTGAACCGTCTCTTCCTATCTCTGAATTGACTTGGAATCGATTCTATTTGTCTCGGTAAATAAAATATGCAATATATTTATCTAATATATTATTAGGTTAACCTAGTCCTGGACATGTTGTCCAGGCTTGTTCATTCCTGAAAATAATACCTGTTGTCCCGAATCTGGTCATTCCCGTAATCCCTAATCCAGTTAATAATATCACACATTGAAGATAGCAATCTTATTTTACTCTCGTTTCTAATATGCAAAAAATTGTGTATTTAAATGTAATATATACTAATCAAAAACAAATTAAAAATCCATTTATATGTACTTTCTTCTATTTCCTCCAATTCTTTACTATGCGTACACTAAGAACGAAATTTTCAGGCCCAAGCAATATCCCGACAGTATAATTATCCTGGATACATGCCCCAAAAGCCCCTATAATATATTTGTGGTGTCAGGCGTCAGAAACACTCAAACTTCAGCAAAATATATATAATGATTAGTAGCTGTGTTAATGCGTATGGAGGCGATTAAGGTCTAAGTTGAACTGGTATTTGATATAATATTTCTTTTTACTCAGAACTTGTGGCACATTATTACCTACACAGCCAAGACGGGCCCACTCGGCTTCTTCAAGGTCAGTGAGAGGTGTAAGATATGAATAATTTAATTGAATTTCCATCTTCATAATATTGACGTGGCTTCGAAAGTGAAGGAATTACCGTGATGAAACTCTACCACAGTTTGTGTTAGATTTTGATGTTAATGTCTCCCTAGAAAACTCTGTAGACTTTTTGAGTTGAATTTGATATTCTTCTGCCCTAACGACTTTCCAACATGCAATTTTATTCAGGGTTACGTACCGGCATTCGTGCGGTTGGGCCCTCACACAATCTTCACGTTCATTTTCTTCGAGCAGCTGAGGAAAAACTTCGGTTTCTTCAAACCTACCAACCAATAATTAGGGCACAAAAGCAAGGTTTGAACCATTTTACTACCTACGTTTCTGTTTATCTACATTTTCTTATGACAAGCATACCTGTTTCATGGTAGCTGAGTTTTTGGGATATTTTATTGTGGGTATTGACACTAATTAGCTCTAGGAAATGACACATTTACTATAGTCCCGTTAGCAGTAGCTTGTTATCATGTAACTGCTGCCAATTAGCGAACACATGTCTCCTTATATTCGTTATTGTTTGGGTCGCTACAGCGCATCTCGTCCAACGGCCATGATACTTGTGATGACTTATAATTAAGTTGATGCATCTAACTGCCCTCTCGTATGAAATATTATTGTCCGTGACATTGACCAATAAGAATTTCATGTGATAGTTTCTACATCGAAGCAAAATGATATATATGATAATGATATATATTTTTACGTTATTTCAAAAGAATATAAATAAATGTACAAAATCTCCAACTTAATCTTTGTACATATTTGAAGAGCCGACGTGTCTAGTCCCAGCATATCAAGGAATGCCGTGTAATTTCGCTGTGCAATAATCAAATACTTTTTATCTCATTTTATTTAACTGATTTTATTATGATTGTTCCACGAAACACGCGAATGTGTTCAACGACTAACGCACATGCTTATTGCATATGATTTTACATTACCGCGAATAACCACAGTGAGCGCTGCTGACAATGGGATTTTTGTTGATTAGAGTTTGATGTTATTTTCTGTTCAGTGATTATCTTGATGTTCTCTTGGAGAACAATAAACTCTTTAAAGCACATTATATGACGAGCGACTTTAGAGTGATTGGTCTCAAATTTGTGGCTACATTTATGTTCAATTAAAAAATTAGGCCATTGAAGGAATATTTTATAACGGCAGCAAAATTTGAAAACATATTTACTTGAAGAGCATTTGTGTCGTGCTCGAGGGCATGTTGCGTTATCTTATGTATTTCGGCTCAAATAGAATGTGGTATTCATGTTGCGGCTGTTCTTACACTGTGTGTGTTCACAAAGCAGCAGCAGAGCCCAGGTTGTGATATGTCTTCTCACGTGTAGCTTCCAAACGACTACCTAGTGTAATAGTAAGTGCAATTGAAGTGCCATCCAAAATACCAGAGCTAAGTTAATGATAATGTAAAAATTTCGAAATTTAGTGTCGGTTTTCTATTTTTCTGCATGGATATTTTTCTATTTTTCTGCATGGGTAGGCAGCTTCACTTATTACTCATGCTTTCAATGGAACACTTTAGTCTTCCATTAAGGGTCAAGAGCGAGACTTCTTGTGTCTTGAGTTTTTACTGATTGTGTTCCTAGCTCACTTTTAATGTGTGCAGGCGCTATTAATAGTTTTTATTCAGAAATCTGATTTGTTTAAGTAGATATTCGTGCTGCTGGCTTTACACGAAACGCTCAACTCACGAAAGGCCAATGTTACTTAACAATTATATATATTTTTATTTTTAAAGAACGACATAAATGAACACAATTCCTACCGTTGTAATTATGAGGTAATGATGATGATTTATGTTGCTCTCTTGACGATGTCAATGAATATTTCACAAAGCTTTGCCATTAGTTCATTAACGGTGTGTGGGATCTGTTGCTTTTTTTGTTGATTTTATATCTTAAGAATTCTAATCAATACATGACAATATATTGATCTTTGCTCGCCATTGAAATAAGCGGTGAGGTGACAGGCATCGTATCTCTTCTATTTCTCGAGACCAAAAAAATTTCATTTTCTTAATGTTGTGCCAATTTCAATTCATGTCGTAATTGCCGTGTGATATTCTTTCTTCCAGTCACTGTCCTATGTACAAGTAACGAGTATTCTTCCATCAAACAATGAGAGTTTGTTGTACACGAGGTGATTAGTATCATTTTTGTAGCTTATTGATACGATATAACCTGCAAAGCATCTTAGGACAATTGCCTTTATACTGTCGTCTTCCACCTCTAATCCTAGTGCTCTTCAGAATACACCTTAAATGTGAGCAGTTCTGTTGTGTGATCAGTGCATTTATTACGGTTTATTAATATTTTAAACTTTGGAATAGTAGAGAACTATGAACAATAAATGTAGCACAAGTATAGTGTATTTAATGAGTGGCTTTCAAATTCCCTAAAACCCGTTTCAACAACAATATGAAATAAAAATCCAAACGGTATTTAATTTATTTACAGATTTCACATTTTGTACGTAAACTATAGATATAAAACCACATGGTACAGAGCGCCAAGGAGCTGTAATGAACGGAATGGAGCGCCGCCTTCCGTACCGAGACGATACAAATAACGACTCAGCGAAAAGCTGGTCAAGAGAATACGTTAAAGTAGACGACGGAAGTGAAGACACATCGTAAGTTGTAACATGACTAGAACGCCTCTAACTTTCCATTAGCAAGCAATACATCACCTACGAATAAATTGCAATAAATAAGCGATTTGTCTCGCGCGCGAATTCATAGTCTGAGTTTTTGACAGCAAGTTGAGATAATCTCAGTGCGACTACACCTAGACTACTTGTGGGTTTATTGTTAGGGAATAAACAATGCGCTTCAAAAATGGTATATGGCTCTCCGCTTGTTGTTGCCAACACGATTTTCACGCGTATGGGAATCTCATGAAAAGCTTTCCTACAATGCGGTACACAGAGAGTCACAGTTTCAAAGCTTCATAGCGTTCTCTTTAGATAAAGATTTCAACGAAGCAACATATCACATAGAACACAGACGAAAGCTTTTTAATGCAACACTTAACAGAATAGTTTTCCTTACGCAGTTTCCTTGACGTTATCCCTAATGTTAATAAGCATGTAGCTTTCGTCCAATACGTACGATGTGAACACCAAAAGCAAGAAATGTAAAACAAAATCATCGCGCGATGATTTTTTTGCGACTCCAGGACTCATCACACAGCTTGCCAAACTGACTGATCATTGGAGAACTTATTGTTGCCTTATCAAGGGAGAACTTGTTCACCCATGAAATTGCTATGCAACGTCGGTGCTTGGTTTATGAAAAAACACCCCATTAGTTTTATGATTATGATACAAAAAAAATCAGTTCTAACATTCGCAATAACGTTCTCACCTAAGGCGTAAGTTGAATCTTTAGGCCCTCCGACAATTTCTTACATAAACGTGTCTATCTTGTAGACAGCGAGAATTTTATACCCGTTACCTGATAATCCTCGAGTCACTTGCGTACATTTTCAAACAATTGTCAAATCTGAAATGCTCTGAACGCTTGAATTACAAAAGAATGCCACTTGAGAGAGCTGTTGCAGGAAAGCTACCAGATTTTAACTTGGGCTTGCAGGGTGACCACGACATGACTTAGACGGGCGTCGCTTGAGGCGGGTCGCCACCTCGAGATTGACTGCGACTTTTCTTCTGTCCTCCAAAACTGAACCATAAACCTGTTGAGAAAGCATTTTACAAATTAGTTCCGCTGTAAGATAGTGCTCGTACATTATGCATTGTATTCCCAAACAAATTCAAGCCATTTAATATTGGTTTTCACAGTAAATTCTCAGAAATTGTCAAGTAAAATAAAAAAATGAAAGGATTAAAACTGCACTATTAGTGCATTGAATATTGAAGCACGTGCTTAGCAGCACACGTTGAAAACCATTCACATAATACGTGAATTTTCTTCCATGCTAAAAAAAGCCACCTCCATGTTACGTGTAACAGAGATACTGCGTAGTAGTGACCACAACTCTCACCTCTTCTCTTATTATCTGAAGTATCAGCTGGCAACAAAGATGTTGATAACGGTGCAGTGTTGCAGAGCTGTTGTTGTTGCTGTTGCTGCTGCTGCGCTTGTTGCTGCTGCTGCTGGTGCGAAGGAAGGCTGTTGCTCCGCAGCTCGCGGTCAATGTTCACCAGAAGCTCAGCCTGCGCGTGCGTCAAGGCCTGGCCTCGTTTGCTCACTATTTTGCTGCCTAGAAATTATACAGGAAAGATTGATATCTGCATTGCATTAAGCATGTCTGGCATCAAGTGCATAGAAGAAATTGCTTCACTGTCGTCATGAAACTATTGAATATGAAATATGAAACCAGAAAAGTTGATTGTATTCATAGAATATTACAATTTGGTAGATAATTTTATGGATATTAATAACCGAATTCATTGCAACGGAGATATGAAGGTCGATCCATCTTCATTGCATAGAAAAAAATTGCTTTTCATTTTGACGTATCATTTTAGTTGAAAAACAATATGATTCTATTTACCGGGGACCTCGTTTAATTTTTACGTGATATTTAAGCTCCTTTATTTATAGCCATTCATTAAACTCATTTCACATTCATTAAACTCATTTACTGTTCATTAAACACTGAACTATATTTTTCATGAGTTATTTAAACGCACTTCTGGGTTTCTTGGGACGTGCGCGTCTGGTTCTGGCCGCCTCCCTGGCCAGCGCCCGAGTCTTGTCTGACACAAGGAAGCCCGCTTCTTCGTCGCCCGCCACGAGTTCCCGCTCTCGTCTGCAGTAGACAAGGCCAATTGCACATTCAAATCTGTTTAGTATTAGGATTTTTGCTTCTTGCAATTAGCCAGCCATAAAAAGGTACAGTACGGTCACAAAGAAACGCTTATTTCTTCTGCCTCCCAATATGAAAGATAAAAAGAACTGCTCTTTCGAATGAATCAAGAACAAGGATATAGGAAAAATATCGATGAATTCTAGACTTTAATTTTAAAAATTTCGACTAAAGTATTCTATGCGGGTTTGCACCTCTCACACTACTGCTAAAACTATGCCTCTTATTTAGTAGTAGTCGGCTCACACTACGTTTGAAAGTCAGCAAATTGAGAAATAGTGCATTTAGGAGTCGAATTTCGAGACTAAATTAGGGAAGTCATGTTGGAGACGTGAACAGTTATTTAATGTCTTCTCCTCGTGAGCACGAAGAACTACATGAAGCGTCATCAACTCTCCTAGCACAGCTAAATATCGACACGCAATGATCCCAGCAATATACCTGACACAATTACTTAACTATTTGAAATATATTTAAATGTATACCATTGAAATATCGAGAAACAAATTTGTAAGTCACCTGAAAGCCTCTAGCCACTTGGACTTTTCTTCGGCAGTCTTGCAAGCAAACACGTAGGACTTATTCTTGTCCCTGCAGCGGATGCGCCAAGCGTTCGGCACGTAATTACTCCTGCTGCCATCTGCAAATGAACCAATCATCAGTGACCGGTTTTACAAATTTGTCGATTCTTCCGGCTTGAGGACTACATACATTGGAATAGTTGCACCAATATGATAATGCATCCGTCAAAGTATCATCATGTTATTCAAAACGGAATTTATTTACATTCAAAATGAAATTTATACACGTTCACAGCAAAGGCATTTAAATTCAAAATGAAATTTATACACGTTCACAGCAAAGTCATACGAAGAAGAGAAGGGACCTTAGAGCAATGAACCAACCTTTGCTATCAACGACATCCTCAACGCTGCATTGATCTAGGTTGATACGTCCTCGGTAGACGTAGGTGTTGCGCTTGATGATGTCCTTCTTGCAGTACACGAGTTGACGATCGAATAAGAAAAGTGTTACCTCCTTCGGCCAGGCCCCACCAGCGCCCTTCACCACCTCGCCTTGGTGGAGCAGCTGTGAACTGCTGTCTAATAACTCGGCGCCCTGTGCACAAAACGTTCCAGTTAATAACTGCTTCCAATAAGTGTAGTAAAAGACTCGACGGATGATGCAATATATAAAATAGAAATTTCATTATAATTATGTGTTTTTTAAATAGTTAAATAATAAATCTATTTATCACGATAGACGTGGAGCCCACGCTGTGTGTGTGAGATTTGGCCGATCCCGGGCCTCGAGTTCACCAGCACTAGTCAACTGAACTTATAAACAGCAGAGAGGGTACACCTTACAAGACCGCTGTAGCGGCCATCCCTGAACTCCTACTAACACAGCCTAGACCTCACCCACACAGACTAATGCTCCATACTACCAAGCACTCCCCTAACAATGCCTGGACCTCACCCACACAGACTCGTACCCCAGGGTCAAGCACTCCCTCACACCGCCTTCACAACACCCCTCACAGACCCATGCCCCCAGTGTCAAGCAAGAATAACAATAACTGACATCACATACAATAATAATTACAATAATTACAAGAATAACAATAACTACAAGAATACCTATAACTATAAGAATAGCAATAACTACAAGAGTAACAATAACTACAAGAATAACAACAACTGACCTCCCAGCCCTCGAGTTCCATCTGCCAGGCCGCTATTTTTTCAAGGCACTCCATGCGACGGCGGCGCTCGTTGACGAGCAGCGCTGCTGAGCGCATGGCGTTCAAGGCGCCCTGTACGCTGTCGTGGTCGGGGTGGTCGGGCTGCCGGCAAAATTAATTTGTGAGGGCAAAATTAATTTGTTAGAAATTTACTGGAATATGACTTGAGACAATCCTAAATAAAAATTAATGTTTGTAGAGAAAATAAATTTTCATCAATGTTGAATTATGCTCGAAAATTAATAGAAAAACACAAACTTCGACTGATTGAAACAATTTATCTGGCGTATTAATCCTCAGACAAATTTGAAACTCAAGAATTTCAAGTACGAAGTATTTAAATACTTCAAGCGATAGAATATGATTAACGACAGCTGATGAAATGAGAATACTTTTATAGGAGGCAGGAATCAATAGCTTTTTCGAATACAATAAAGAAAAAATTCAGTCAAGTTTTGGTCACTCACTTTTGTATACTTGAGGAGCTCCTGCAGCTGCAGGGGATACTTGCAAATTTTTTGCACAGGTGTGAGCAAGAAGCCGTCAAGGGAGATGTCGATCATTTCCTGCAGAAGTCTGCATGCCTCGAAGAAATGGACGTATTTTTCTTGTTGATAAAGTTCTTGGAGTTCCGACACAGCGAAGGGGTGGTTGTTGCAGTACTCAGAATAGATCTCAAACTTGTCACTCTGCAACGAATCAGTGAACATTTCCTTCGAAACTTGATAATAATAAACACTTGTCACATTTCAAAGCATAAAATTTGTGCCTTTATTCATTTATAAATTTAAAAATATGTCATTTACTTATGAAGTTCTATATTATTATTACAATATTTTTGCCTCCCGGATGTGACAATGCTAAGATAGAATCTTCCTGCCTTACCTGAACGAAGTGGCAAATGTGGAAATGAAACACAAAGAAGATGGCGAACAACAATGGGAAAAGTCTTTCATATACATTATTTTATACGAAGTGGTCAATCGTGAACTTAGAAGCAGAGAAAAAGTTTACATTTTTAATGAAAGCCTCGCCGACGCAGGACGTGTGCAGGTTGTCCCAGTCAATGCAGCCCTCAAGATCAGCCAGGAAGCGCGTCTGGAAGGCGTACAGCTCCTCCATGTTGCCGAATATGGCGCTAATCCGAGCCGTGGAGAACATGTCGGGGCGCCTGCGGGCCTGCTTTAGGTAACCCTGCGCGAATGAAACAAACAACATAATTACTTAACGAGGTAGCAGCATTATTAATAGGTTGAGGTATTGGCGTGAGTCTTTGTCCTCGCCTGCGGTCAGGACTAAAATCTTAGGCTGTTTGGTTCGCCGATAAACGGTACAGAATATACCATAGACGAAGTAGATTGAAGTGATAAGTAAAAACAAACGATGCTTCCATTTTTCTAATAATAAAGGAACAGAAAAGGTCAGTGCTAAATACCTGGATAGCAAAATAAACATTGAATTTAACGTAACGAGTGACTCACTTCGACCACATCTCTGAGGTGCTTAACAAAGTCTCTCTCTGTGGTGATAATCTCCTTGATGACGTTAGCTCTGATCTGGTCGTGCGTGGGCCCCGACGCGCTGGCCTTGCGTGGCGTCGTGCCGTTACTGTACTGTGACGTTGCACGACAATATCCTCCTCTACTGGCGACCATTTCATCGCTGTAGGCATCCACTTTACCGCCCACCGCATCGCTGTTCGTTATCGTCGTGTCCAGCAACTTATCTTCAGGTCCGGCATGACTGACGGGCGCCGCTAAACTGTCCCTGCTGCAAGATGTCTGCAGATCCAGTGACGACGCCAGATGTTCTTGCTGGTTCACAAGTAACTGCAAACGCAATCGTGCAATTATTTACAGAAAAAAATACGTGCTTGAATGGATGGTGAACAATACGTTGTAATTGCATGAACTAATCACATTAGACGAATTATAGTGCGCGGCAGGTCATTGAATTAGCTGTAGCAGTTGGAGGAAACGTATTCAAGTAAAGCAAATGATTTGAATTTAAATAAGAAAAACAAGACGGCGCAAGTAAAGGACAAACCTAGTTGAAATTAAACCAAGTTTAAGCGCTTTAAAGTATATTGTTAGATCTTTCAGTATCATAACAATAAAATGACTGCTCACCGCCTTATATAGAAGATGTGATGGTACTCACCCTAACAATAGACTGTTCACCACCTTATGTAAAAGATGTGTTGGTACTCACCCTGACAAAAGCGACAGGGAACCACCTTATGTAGAAGATGTGTTGGTACTCACTCTAACAGAGGACTGGTCACCACCTTATGTAGAAGATGTGATGGTACTCACCCTAACAGAGGACTGCTCACCACCTTATGTAGAAGATGTGATGGTACTCACTCTAACAAAGGACTGCTCACCACCTTATATAGAAGATGTGATGGTACTCACCCTAACAAAAGCGACAGGGAACCACCCAGCGCGGGTACCGATGCGGCCCCACCACCAGTCGTGGTCGGAGCGGTCCACCACTGAGATGAGCTCGCCAGCTCTGAACATGAGCTCCTCGCTGTCCATGGTCACGTGGTCCCACAGCGCTTCAGCGTACACCACACTGCACGACTGAAGAGCAAACAATGACATCACAGCATAACAGACACGTAGATTGATAATGTTGGTTACAGCATAAGAGAAACGTAGATTAAAAATGCTTGTTTCTTTACGAAAAACTTCGTTTCGTTGGCACTATTCAGCAAGCGATACTACTACATGTCAGTGATTCAGAGAGTGATATGATTACTTCGTGATAATTTAACGCAAGATATATACCGATTGACATTGATTGAACAAAGTTGCCCATACCCTTAGCAATAAACAAAATATTCCTATCCGAACTTCTGCTTCGATCAAGCGACTTCAGCATCATCAAAAATTAAAACACTACACATTCTCATCCAAACAACTAATTAAGAACAAAATGTATTCAAATAAGCAGATCTCTGGAACTGATCACTGCTCATGTATAGGAGAAAATACTTACCTCATCAAAGGCCCGCTCCTTCCTGGCCTCCTCAGTGTCGGAGGGCAGCAGCTCTTCTTCTGACGTGTGGTCATCGCTGAGCAGGTTGCCGGTGCTCGGCCGGCGCTGAGGTCGCTTCTGTGGACCACAGCAGTTTACATTCACGGCAATAAGCGTACAAATAACATAAATGAGTAATGCAATCACTTTTTGAACTAACTTGAAATATTCCATTCGAAAGTTTGAAAGGGTTTTATATACTTGTTTTGTAGAGGTAATAAAGAAGCAAATGCGACGAGAGATATGATAATAGTTTCAAATTACTACGTAGCAGCTTCGTTCATAATACAAGAACTGACAAGCATGCCTCGCATGCAAATGCGTAATTAAGAGGCAGCAAGTTAATGCATCATCGGTCTATACGTATACCACTTTCAAGTCCTTTCAATTAAAATAGACTATCGTTAACCCAAGCACACTTATTCTTGGTAAAAGGTTAATACTTAGATGTTATATATACCGAGAAAACTGAAACTAAAAATGTATGGTACTTAGTTCTACTGATCAAAAACAAAAATAATTCAAAGTAACCGGAATCTCTAGCACAAGTAGTGACGAAGAAGACAACTAACGAGTTTAGCTGGGAGGTACGAAATCAGAAGGAGCGTGATCCTGTACATCCTTACAATTTCCATCGTACTTACTTCTATCCTGATGAATTAAAACATTCAAAGGCAAACAAGCAATGGAACTGACATGTGGGTAGACATGCAGGAACGCGGCTGCCCCACAGGTTGGTCTGCTGGTAACTCTTAGCGACACCGCAGCGCCGCCCTCGACGGGTGACTTGTTCAGGTCCAGGGGCTGACTCACGGACCGACGCAGGTGCGTCGACCCTTGACTGCGTTTTAGGCTGCGAAACAAATGAATGAGTTAGTGTGACAACCGTTGGCTAAGATTTGATTGGCACATTGAGCACGATAATTGCCAATTTGACAAAATTACAGGTACCGATCTTAGGATCATACAGTCTTAAAAATTCATTATTAGCTTAGGGAAATGAAAAAAAATTATGAACTTGAAAAAACTCGTACAAAATATTGATAAATTGATATAGACTTTAAAAAAACGTTACTATTTGTCGCTTTTTACCTTTTGTTGCGTTGTGATGTTTCATCTTCGGATCGTCGTTCCGACCGACGAACTCCACTGGCGTCAGTGACGGCTTTACCGCCAGCGCTGAGATGTGCCCGACTGCTGCCACCTCTAGTTCCCCTACTGCCCGATGTGTCTCTGACAGACGTCCTGCCACCCGAGGGGTCTCTGACACATGTCTTGTCACAAGTGTATCTATCATGACCAGCCCGACCAACCCGACCAACATTGCTAAGGTTATTTATGGAAGAAGCGGCGTCACTCTGACATCGCCGGATTTTAGAAGGAGCGGAACTGGTCGGATGTGAACACAACTGAGTGGTGTGGAAACTGTTCCTATTGATGCCACCACAGGCGGAGCAAGAGTTACCCCTGTGGTTAGTAAAACATTGGGCGCCATCAGAGCCACAGGAGGTAAGGGAAGGATGAGAGGGCCCGCCATAGCTGATAGTAGTCACTGATGTATTGGAACTATCAAGAGAAGAAGAGATGGTAGTGCTGCTTGTGCTCGCCAAGGACTGGCGACTATTGCTTCCTAGTGCGGGGGCGCCGTTAGTGCAGGAACACGATACGCTGCAGGTACACGGCTGGTCGTGTGTGCAGGATGAAGTCGAGGTCGTGGTGTCGTCAACGCAGTCGCATGGGATTGAGATACGACAGCTGCCATCATCAGCATTAACTGGTCGCTCGTCAGCACTGCAATGATCGTTTACGCTCACCTGCAACACAACAGAAAAACACGTTACAGGAAAGAATGAACAAACAATCATTTATCTAGTACTAAATGTCATACCACTCATCAAACGAGTAAGTAATTTTTACAATAAACAGAGAACATACTGGACGGCAGAAAGAAAAGTTCCCAGCATAGTCTTGAAAATGACAATATATACTGGGCTACTTAGCAAAAAATCGTCGAGAGCCGTGCGGGTCGGGTTTCACTTCAAATAATAGACTGGAAGCTAAACGCGGTCGTGCGATTAACAGCGCTGCTTGGAAGTTCCGAGCAACGATTGAGGAGGGCGAGAGGGAGAGACACAAGCGAGTCACGGAACGTGGGTCAGCGCTGGATACTTAATTTCCTCCTCAAACAATGGACGCGTCTAGTCACGCAGTGCAAAAAGTGATCACGTGGACAGGAACCGGTGTATCGCTCCCAGTCTAACGGACTTCCATGATTCAATGACGTGAGGTGAATATGAACAAGCCCGCAATTAAAAAAATCATCACAAATCCTCAGTTACCTAAATATTTTATTTGAGATCTTTTAGCAACGCATGGAGCAATGTATGCTCTATTTGCTGTACGCATCGAAATATTACAAACTGAATGATCTAGTGATAGGTTTATACGAACTTTGCAGCAGAACAAGCACATTTACTTAGCGCTAATCTCGCTGTCACATTTCAAATCCTCTTACTTAGCGAATAAACACAGGGCGCAGCGCTTCACCGCTCTCCTAATAGAAATGAAGAGCCTCTTGAGCGTGAGGAATAGCGAGGGTATTATCACAGCCAACGAATAAATTCTTGTAATGTTTACAGAAAAAAAAGAGTTCGAATAAATTGATAAATAACACAACTTCTATGAAGAGTTATGATATGAACACTTCAGTTATGATATAATTTATTTTTAAAATTGGATTCGTCCACAATGAATATGCAAAGCTAAATAAACGAGAAAAATTCCAATCGAATTTTCAACAAAAAATTATGGAGGAGAAATGTGACGAACTTTAATATCGGTTCGGCAGTATTCACAAGGCTCTATATTTGTGGGCGATTTTAAAATTTGAAAAAAATCAGGAAAATAATATGTATTATACTGGTTCTAAATCTAATAGAATTATTTTGGATAATATGATCCCCATTGAGAAATTATGCAAATTTTCGACGCAAAGCGCTAAAATTACAAACATTGACATAACATTTTTTCTTACCGAACACCCTAGCGCGCAGCGCAGCCTTGCTCGTCAACCACCATTAAAAAAAAAACATGTTTTTTCGCCTCAAGCACAATGTGGGGAGCGCGTTTGACAAGAGGCTGCCAAACTCAACTTCAACGAAGTCAGGGTACGAGCGAAAAAATGTTGACGGTCATAAATACGCCGTAAACTACACAGACAACTGAAAATACTTTCTTGTAAATAAGGAGAGAGTTTTGTTTCTCACAAAACAAAATTTTATTTCGGTTAAAATTTTATTTTTCACAGAACAAAGTTTTATTTTTAGCAACGAAAGTAAAAAATAATATTCAATACCTACCTAGGATAGCAAATTCATTGCAGCCTCCTCTTTCACGACGAGGAACTATAATCTGCATAGATAGCAGAAAATCATGCCAAGGATCACTGCAAGAACAAGTTCGAGAATTGCGCAGTAAGCTTGCTCAACACCTCGTCTCCTGCACCGTCATCGCGATGAAGCGATAAATGCAGTAAGCTTTTGAGCAGAGTGCGCGCTCTTGGCACAATTCTTAACGATGGGCCCTAGCAACGCCAGAAGTTGATGCCGAAAAGTGCAAACTCACGATGGTAATCCTATGGAAAGTGAAAGCAAGACTACTGCAACGCTTGCAATGCATTTCAACTTGCATCTGCTTAGCATTAAGCTCGTTAGCGCTAGTTCAGGAAGATCTCTCATTGTGGTAATAAAACATAACGCCATTACCTAGTAGGTAATGACAAGGAATTTAAAAGCAAAGAAAACGCCAAGAAAATTCACCATATCGATATTGAAAACGTTTCGGAGTCCAGCTCCATCATCAGTTCGACTAAACTAAAAATGAATAAAATCACTTTAAAAGTCAAAATTCAAAGACAGACATAAAACCTAAACAAGACCTAAC